AATATATATATATACTATATATTTATACTATATATACTATATATTTAGTTTATATACATGTAAAATAAAATGCTTGAGAAGACTTACCTGTGAAGAAGAAACAATATGACGCTTATCAGGAGACCAATCAGAACATAAAACTTTGGCTTGATGCCCTTTTAAGATACGTCTAGGTTTTACATTTATACAATTAATTGCTTCAAGTCTATCTGCTACACTGGCAACTGAAACAAAATATAAAAAATATGATATAAAGGAATATATTGATTGATATCAATCAATCATTTATTATGCTTACGTGTAATATCATTTAACTTTTGTCGTTCATCTTCCAAGCGTTTCTTTAAGCATTCTGCTTCTTTCGCTAGCTTCTCTATATGTTCCAGCTCAGTTGCCGAGTCCATATTATAGCTCTTACTTGTTGATCAACTTTTTGATATACAATAAATTTCACAAATAGATGATCTTCTATACTAAAATTCCATATATGTCAAAGTTGTACATATACACCTATATATATCAACTCTAATACGATTTATGCATCTTTACAATTCTCTTGTAAATCATAAATGATTCATTGCACAATCAGCAATAGGCAGTATTATTAATTGTTACTCCATTAGAATTATAAATATAATTTATTACATTCGCACGCGCACGGAATGCCATTTTTTCACAAGCGAGAAGAACGGAGACTCATGAAATTCTAACAGACCGATATTGTTTCATGCATTGAGGCTCTTTCTATATAATCCTTGTTCTTACTCGCTTATTGTACGTTTTTAAGGGAAAACGTCATATGTATGATGTAAACGAGAATAATCGATACAGCGCGACTAGTATTCCTTCTTTGCGAGACGAAATAACGATGAAGCGCGCCGCGTCGATACAATGACGCTTGATGACGTTTTTCTTCTATCTCTCTACTTCTACACTGTGCGCAATCCATTCCACTCAATACGCATTGCGCACATCCATAATCCATTCACAGCATTCATCACTGGTCTATTTCCACCGAGATTTTAAACCGGATCAGAATGTAAGAACCAATCAACTACAGTTGAGTATTCTTTTGTTACAACAAGTCGAACGACAACGAAATGCTCGACTGTAGTTGGTTGGCTTTTACATTCTGATGCGATTTAAATCCTCGATGGAAACTAGGTCACTGTTTACCATACCAGAGAGAAACCTGAGAGGGGTCATGGTGGCCTTTTTCGCGTAACAGACGAAAGTCAGTACGTCAGCAGCACCAACATCAATTTTATAAATTGAACTATGTATCACATCACATTTTCGCTACTGTCGATAAAATCGTAGTGTCGATAAATGGGTTTGGTACAATCACAAACTGAATAAAAATAATATTAATTTACAAAAAATGCTTCTTTTAATCAGATAAGGTATTTTTTTATAATTTTTGAATTTTGAAAATGATGCCGTAAATTAAATTTCATTAGTACATCAGATTTTCGAAATAACTGAGATTTAATGTGCAAAATAGCTTTGTTATATTTTAAATGTTCTTATAAAAAAAGATTAACGAATTCTCGAAATTGTAATCAGAAATCATGAATGTATTGTTCACCCTCTACAAAATGTATACATTTTATTTTAGTATCTTACTTTTTAATCGTGTTATGAAGGATTCAAGTACAGAGTTTTTCTAAGATAGTAAATTTTCCGCCTTTAACAATGAAATCATTATACTTCTAATTCCCAGTTTGTGACTACACACAATGTAATTTATCATTATATTATATCATTATATCTATTATTCCGCTAAATATATATATATATATATACACGCGCGCGCACGCGCGCGCGCGCGTGTGTGTGTGTGTGTGTGTGTGTATGAGAGAGAGAGAGAGAGAGAGAAAGAGAGGGAGAGAGAGAAGGCAACATTTATTTTGAAATAAAAAAATTTCAGCAATGATTAAGTTACACATACTTTAGAATATTTATTTTAGTATATAACATTTAGTATATAGAAACATTTAGTATATAGAAAACATTTAGTATATAGAAAAATGCAGATAATCAGTTTGTACTAAGACATCTATAAATCCAAAATGCAAATTCCGAATCTTTTGTTCCCTCAATTATAGGTCTCTCAGATCATGACCCACTTCTCTACATTCTTGAAATATATTTTACATTTCGCGTTGTATTAATGCTTTTCTTGCTCAGACTAAAATTTTTCAGTTGTATTAATTTGTTTTTAGATTGAACGAACATGCTGAATTCATAAAATTAATATCTTTGAAGTATTTAGTTCCTTCATTAATGACATTCTAAATGCCAAAATAGGTTCGTCTTCTGTTCTTTAAATTTATACATATCATACTCCGACACAAATATTCCTTTGATCTCATTAAGATTGACAATATAATTTTGCAGAATCCTTATATTTTCCTTGCTTGCATCGTAACCAATGGATTTATATATTGGGAGTACGAATTAGTTCGGTCCGTTTCCCTAAAAGATAGCTCCAGCTGTTGTGAATGGTTCATAGTGGCAGCTGATTTTGGCGATTTTAGAGAGGTTAAACATCTGCTAATAATATTCAGTTTATATCGCTTTGAGTTTCATACAAAAACCTTGATTTTTTTACTGTGTTTGAAATGTCAAATTTTGTGTTAACCAAGTAGCATTTGCAGGAGGTTTTGATTTTCTGCTTCAATTGGAAGAAAAGTGCGGCTGAAGCTCATCGAATGCTCGAAATTTATGATGACACTGCTCCAACTGATAAATCATAGAGAATGGTTTCGACGTTTAAAGGATGGAGATTTCAGCGTTGAAGACAAGCCTCGCTCTGGACAGTCAAAAAAATTCTAAGACAAAGAATTAGAGGCATTACTCGAAGAAGATCAGAGTCAAACGCAAGAGGAGCTTGAATCATTGGGGATAACTCAACAAGTCGTTTCTGTATGATTGAGAGTCATGGGAATGATTCAAAAACAAGGAAATTGGGTGCCTTGTGAACTGAAACCGAGAGACGTTGAAAGGTGATTTTTCACTTGCGAATAGCTGATTTAAAGACAACAGAGAAAAAGTTTTTTGCATCGAATTGTGACTGGAGATGAGAAGTGGATATTCTACGACAATCCCAAGAAGAAAAAATACTACGCTAAGCCCGGTCAATCGTTGCCATCGACCTCAACATCAACACCACAGCCGAACATTCATGATTCGAAGATCATGCTCTGTATCTGGTGGGATCAAAAGAGTCTTATTTACTATGAGCTGCTGAAACCTGGCGATTCCATTACGGGCGATCGGTATCAGCTACAATTGATTCGTTTAAGCCGTGCATTGCGAGAAAAACGGCCGGAATACGAGCAAAGACATGATAAAGTTATTCTTCTTCATGACAACGCTCGGCCTCAAAGTCATAAAAAAATATTTGGAAACGCTTAAATGGGATGTTTTATTCCACCCGTCGTATTCTCTGGACATTGCTCCTTTTGATTACTGGTTGTTCCGAAAGATGCAACACGATTTGGCAAGTCACCGGTTCATTTCTTTCGCAGAAATCGAAAATTGGTTCCAAAATTGGCTCGCCTCCTAAGACGAATCATTTTTTCAAGATGGAATTCGAAAATTGCCTGAGAGATAGAAAAAAGTAATAGGCAACGATGGACAATACTTGACAATACTAATTGATCTGTTTATTTTGTTTTGAAATAAATGCATTTTTGAACACAAAAAACCAGACCGAACTAATTTGTATTCCCAATAATAAGAATATATCTGTGAAATTGTTATTATCTTAATCATTATTATTAATACCTTAGGTATTAGGTTTCTTCCTTTCTCCTAAACTGTCGACAAATATTTGAAACATGAGCCATAATTCTGCGTGCACGTGAAACAATATGGCATTTTCTGTGTAAGATCCATACTTCAGTTTAAGGCTAATTGAATAAAAATAGAAATATAAGATATCATATTTATATTATTACACAAACAATTCAAATGTTTTAATCATTTTCACTCTTTCAAATATTTTCAAAATAGAATATGAGAAATTGATGATTATTTCAGCAGTGGTTTCAAACTCCTGTGTGTAATATTGGACCATGTAGTTCTCGAATGCATTAAAACGAATGCGTTACAAAAAAACCACTTTAATTCTATATGTAGTACAAATGAAACTGTTTGGCTGTTAACACTAAAACAAAAATAACGTTTTTGCTCAGCCAAGAAGACAATCAATTTTTTTAGTTACTTTATTCTCTAAAGAAAAATAGTTTTTTAGACTACTAAAAAAATGTAAGATATTAACATAATAAGCATCTTGTAAACGTTCGTATAACGTTTATGAAATGTTTATTAGATGATGTTTATTAAATTAAAATCATCAAATTTTAAGCTAACCTTTCTATGAAATTGATTTGTATTCTTCTAACAATCACGTTAAATTTTAAAGAATTCGAGAAAAAATAGTTAAAAATATAGTAATACGCTGTAGATTTTAAATTCGTTTTTTTTAATATTCTAAATAAATATCACTCGAAATAATTGTTTCAGGCGTCTTTTGCATTAATAAACATCTTTTTTTTTTAAGTCAACCAATAAGCAGAGTATCTAAAATCAGCGCATAAATTTAAGATATTTTTAAAAGTTTTTTTGAGAAACATCTTCAATATATTTCATAAAGAAAAATATCTTAAAGCTGTCTTATGCGTCGATTTTATCCGTTTATTCGGCAATTTTTAGAAATTAATATATAACTATTGCGAAAATTACAAACTGATAGAGAAAATTGATTTAGTTTAGTTCGCCCTGCCCATGAGATTGTACGGACATCCTGTATACATACAATTATATGTATATGAGTACTGCACTTATTTACAGTAGAACATTACTTCGCATCGGATTAAATTTTTGAATGTTACAAACGATGCCAAAAAATTTCAGCGTAAATTTCCAACATATTTAAGTTTTAATGTTTAAAAAATTATTTTAATTTTAGTACCTTATATTTGTAGTTGTGCAACAAAGAATTTAAATACAAAATTTTTTTGAGATATAAATTGTAGTTATCGATATATATGTATATACCAGGTATGTAAATATGAAACCGGAATTTTTTAGAAAATACGTTTATTGCAATATGTTTATTGAAAATGATAAAAAATATTTTATTCGAAGTATTGCCCATCGATAGCTATACATTTTTTTCACCTGTTAAACAATTTGTGGATGCCACGCCAAAAAAATTGTTGCTCTTTTGAGCCAAACCAGTCATCTAGCCATTTTCGTACATCTTCGTAAAGAAGTGAAACGCTGCTGAGCAAGTGCGTGTCCCATTGATGCAAATAAGTAATAATTGGACGGAGCCAAGTCTGATGAGTAAGCCGCATACGAAAGTATTTCCCAACCAAATACCTCAATTTCCTTGTTTTGCTGTGTGTGATGGTGCATTATCATGAAGCAAAATCACTTTGTGTTGCCTTTTTTGATATTCCGATCGTTTTTCACACAAAGCTTGATTCAAATTGATCATTTGTTGTCGGTAGCGTTCAGTATTAACGGTTTCGCCAGGTTTTAGCAGCTCACACTAATAGCTAACTAATAGATCACACCTTTCTGATCCCATCAAACACAGAGCATTATCTTCCGTAGCGATTTGGCCTTGCAGTCGATGTCGATGGTTCGCTTGGAGTTACCCATGATCTTTTACGCTTAGGATTCTCAAAATATATCCATTTTTCATCGCCTCGAAAAGTTCTCTACCATTTTATAACTTTCCTCAATAATTAACGAGATATTAATCCTTAAAAATAGTCAAATACTACTGCGAATACGCAGTAGGATTTGACTATTATATACTTATATATACTTATATATACTTATATACTTATATATAGTACTTATCGATCGCTTGGCGCGCGAACCGTGGGGAGCGGGGAGCTACAGAGACTTGTGGCGGTGTGCGCGGCGCGGAGCGTTTGCCAACCAATCCTCAACTCCCAAGGCCCGCGCGTCAAGCGATTGGT